AGCTTTGATGGTAACACAGTGACAGGGCTCCTCTCATTCTGGAACTTAGAGTCTTTTTCCTGGGTCTCCATCCTTCAACAGACTTCCAGTTTAATTATCTGTCTGCAGGGGTACACATATGTGCATGCACACATGGACACACACAACCTGTGCACACATGCACTCCGCAGCCCTTCCACACCCTTGAGCACTCTTCCTTCTTGGTAAGCAGATGAGTAGTAGCAATGCCTTTGGCCTTTGTTGTACCCATGTCTGAAATTCTGAAATTCACAATCCAAGTTAAACTTTAAGATCAATACTGATCCTAGGATCGTCAGCTCCATTTCATGAGAGTCCATGTTCAGACTATATGGAGCAAATGGCCTCTAAACACTAATGGTTTTATGACTTTCTTTTCCTGCAATCACATGGAATCTTAAGCTTTTAAAAATTTAAATGGTGGGGCTGGAGAGATGGCTCAATGATAAGCTGCTCTTACAGAGGACCTGGGTTCGGTTCCTAGCACTCACATGATAGCTAACAACCATCCATAACTCCATTTCCAGGGGATCCAACTTCCTCTTATGACCTATGTGGGTACTGCATGACATGGGTGCAGGCAATACGCTCATACACATGAAATATTCTTTAAATTTTAAAATGGTGCTGAAGATGGAATCCAGGGCCATACACAAAGCAGAAAGTGCTCTGCCACTGAGCTGCACCCTGAGTCTCTGAGCTTTTTGAAGCTACTGTGGACCCAAGAAGGTTTGGGGACCCAACTCTGTCCTTGACCAGGAAATATTGTTTACTAATGTAAATGGAAGGCAGTGCACATTTCTCTAAGGAGACCCACTGCAAAGCTATACATTGACAGGTCTGCCCTGGAGCCTCAGCAGACCTGATGTTTCAAACCCACTGCTAATCCTTTCATTCGCCAAGCACATAAGGAACACGTGAGCTCTACTGTGTCAGGAACTATGCTAGGGGTCTGGGCCAGAAAGAAAACTGGAACGACATCTGCCTGTAAGGGAGGGTCCAGAAAGGTGGAGGACAACCTAGAACCAATAACAGAGCACAGCAAGTTGTGCTTTGGTGACCAAGGAAACCAGAGTGGAGCAGCAATGGGGCTTTGGAGGCTGTTGAAGAGTGCAGTGTCTGAGAAGTCCATGAAATGCACTGAGAGGAACTTTCTTTTTAAGATGAAGCTGGAAGCCAACCGTCCCTTTATGTGGGATACTTATCACCTTTCATGGGATAAGCAGAGAGGAGCTTGTGACTAAGGAAACCACATAAACGCTCCATTGTCCCTTGGATCACCTCCAGGACCCTGCTGGAGAAACAAGTCAGTTTTGTTTTGCTTTTGAAACTCCACAGCATTTTCCCATCCTGCCTTTCATCGTCGAGCAGTTTGCACATCTGTTTTTGCCACTAGACCAAGTATAATGCAAAATTTCTCACAGGCAGGTCCCAGCTTTGGGATCGATGTCTCATCCAGGTGCCACACCACAGCTATACAGACGGTAAGTACTCAGTAAACGTGTCAGTACAGGCTAGCTTCTTCTCCCTTTGCTCTAGGCCCCATACCCAAACCAAGTGCTGACTCTCTCAGATCCAGGGGCCATGGCCCTGGTTCAGAGTTCAGCCTCCAGGTTGCCTGACTCAATGCACCTGGTTTGCCCCTGTAGCATTCCACCCCATCACCTCTTCCAGTGCCTTGATCAACATCACAGGCCCATCAGCTTTGCCCTTCCTTGGACCCCAGGCCACCTTTCCAAGTTCATTTCTCCTCTCTAGCTCATTTACTCAGTCACTGCCTCTGCCCTTTACTCCTGATCCTATCATTTTTTATGTCATGTTTGCCATGTGCCAAGCCTAGAGAGGTTCAAGTTCAAACTCAAATGACCATTCTGGTGAGACAGTGCTACCAGTTAGACCTAGTGCCCTTCATGGTTAAATCTTTAAAAGTTTGTTGGTTAATCATTTTACATTTACAGCTAAATAACCTTTATTGGTGTATTGCCTCACAATTGATCAAAGCAAGGAACATATTTGTCCAGAAGTGAATATAACTCAAGGGTCACGCAATGTTAAGAGAGCCATAGTCAGGAATCAGCAGTTTTAGTGAGAATCAATGCATGCCAAATGTACCAGCAGCGCTACAAATATAGCCCACAAGTTTTAATGATTTTGGTTCACTATATCAATGGCTCTGAGAGTAATAGCTAGGGAGACCTGAGGACCCCTAAGAATTTTTCAGGGTACTTTTTACAAAGTTAAACATTTCCATTAACAATGATATTCACTTTAAAAAATTCTCATTCTTAGCTGGAGAGATGGCTCAGGGGCTAAGAGCACTGGCTGTTCTTGCAGAGGCCCCAGGTTCAGTTCCCAGCACCTACATGTCAGCTAACAACGATTCATGACTCCAGCTCCAGGAGTTTCAGGGGATCTGATGTCCTCTCCTGGTCTCTGTGGGCTTTGCATGTATGTATGATATACATATGAGCATACAGAACACTCATATACATAAAATAAAAATTTAATCTTATTCTCTCATAAGCGAATTGTGGGATTTTCTAGAGGCTAAGTAATGTGTGATATCATAGTAAATGGAACACAGAAGCAGACATGACAACTCAGCTTTATTATTATTATTATTTTTTTTTTTTTTGGTTTTTTTGAGACGGGGTCTCCCTGTAGCCCCAGCTAACTGGAACTCACTATGTAGACCAGGCTGGCCTTGATCTCACAGAGATTCACCTGCCTCTGCCTCCCTAGTGCTGGGATTAAAGATGTGTGCCACCAGACCAGAGAATCCACCTCTATTAAGCCAGCCGGATAATGTTAGAGTATCAATAAGCTCCAAACTTAATTGGTCCAGACTTTGAGTCTTTTAGATAGACACACCGAAGGGGGTAACCCAATTACCTCACCCTGCATCCCTGTTCAGCATGGAAGAAGCCAGAGCAGTCTGCGTCCCGATTCCCTATCAGCAATTTGGGTAAACCTCTTGAGAAGGTGGTGTGATAAGAATAGGAGGTAGAAATTGGCTAGGCAGTTAGGGTAAAAAGACCCCAAAGAAATGTAGCCAGTTTCTTTGTCTAAAAGTCAATTGTCCTTGGGCCTTTTAGCAACATACTCTGTTCCAAGGGCCAAAAAATGTTAAAAGTAGTTGGGAGCTTTTATCCCTAAAAGATTTTAGGGTTACCCCTTGTCTTAGTTTGTTTCTTCATTGCTGTGACAAAATACTCTGACTGCTACCAACTTAGGGAGGAAAGGGTTTATTTAGCTTAAATATCCCAGGTCACAGTTCATCCGGGAGCTCAAGGTAGAAACTCAGGGCAGGAATCTGGAGGAAGGAGCTGGAGCACAGGCCATGGAGGAATGCTGCTTACTGGCTTGCTCCCCTGGCCCCTGCTCAGCCTGCTTTCTTATGCAACACAGGCCCACCTGCTCAGGGGTGGCACCGTCCACAGTGGGCTGGGCCCTCCCACATCACTCATCAAGAAAATGCCCCTCAGACATGGCCACAGGCCAGTCCAATAGAGGAAATTCCCCAAATGAGGCTCCCTCAACCCAGGTGTGTCAAGTTGACACTAAAGCTATCCAGCACACCCCTTCAGAGGGGTAATGTTGGAGTATCAATAAGCCCCATAAATTGAACTGGTCCAGACTATAAAAATGTCTAGTTGATCTGTTGGAGGACCCACTTTTCAAGTCTCGCGGGTCAATTACCTGGTGATAGAACCGCTCCTAGAAAGGCAGGTTCACCTTAAGTTATGCTAAACAGATGGGCAGAATACCTGGTGTGTTATTAAGGTAATGAATATTTCTGCCTAGACTCGCTGCAGCTCTCCGCAAAACTTCCAGACCAGCCACAGTCATGTAGGTCTCAGTAAGTCTGTCCGCTTTCCTGAAGAGTGTAATTTCTCCTTTTCTTCTTCATGCCTTTCTTACTAAACATACTTTCTTTAAGGCTTTGGGCTGCCCCTAGCATCCTGTAGTTCTTCACGTTCTCTCTAAAGCTTCCTTCTCCCAGCCATGTGGCTGCCAGTCAGCCACGTGTCTGACCTCCATGCAGGCTCTAAACCTGCATGGCTCCATGATTTTTTTTTACTTCTTCCCACCACTCACCTCCTCAAGGCAGCTGTCAAGATCACAGGCAACTCACCTGTCCTGAGGATTTTTAAGAGTCTAATAAAATTGTAAAAGCTTCCCTTTGGGTCCATTCTTAAACTCTTTTATGAATGACACTAAGAACCCTCTAGGGTTTTCAATACTAGGAAGATTTGAAAAAAAATTTATACACACCACTCTTCTGAATTTTTTGAAAAGGCTCTCTTCTCATGTTAGTGTGCAACACAACTGGTTATGATAATGCCAGCTAAAGGGTATTTCCTTTTGTTTTATATGGCATACAGATCCCATGTAAAAGAACACAGCGGGTCCTGAGGCCAAACCATTTGGGAACCTCGCTCCTACACAAATCACTATCTCTGAGCACAAAGCTCATTCCTGTCAACCTTATCCCCTTCCCCGTGGAAGGAAAGCGGACTTTAGGAGCACACCTGTTAACCCACAACTGCAAAAGGGGGAGGCAGCTGGGCATCACTGCAAGTTCAAGACCAGGTGGAGCTGCATAGCTGGAGAATGAGAAGGGGGAGGGGGGCAAAAGAGAGAAAAGGGAGGAGGAGGAGAAGAAGAGGAGGGAAAGGAGGAAGTGAGTAGAGAAGGAAAGAGAACGAAGGGAACAGAGGGGAGGAGGACGGAAAAAGCAGCAGCACCACTTTTCCAGGGCGGCCAAAGTCACTGCCCCCACCCCTTCCCCTAGGCTTTTCAACCACCCAAGGTGCGCCACAGGCGGGCTGGGGCGTCACAGAGGAGCCTGACTTGTCATCACAGGGCCTCGGGATGCCTGCATTCTGATAGGCCGAGACCCGTCCGCCTCAGCCAATGGGAGGCGGCCACGTCACAAGGGCGCAGAAGCCGCGCGGGCCGCCGGGAGCCCGGGCCACCTGTCCAGTCGGCTCCCAGCGCGCTGAGGCCTCCGGCGGCCAGCCGCCATGGTGGACTACTACGAGGCGCTGGGCGTGCCGCGGCAGGCGTCGGCGGAGGCCATCCGCAAGGCGTACCGCAGGCTGGCGCTCCGGTGGCACCCAGACAAGAACCCCGAGCACAAGGAGGAGGCGGAGAGGCGGTTCAAGCAGGTGGCGCAGGCCTACCAGGTCCTGTCGGACGCCCGCAGGCGCGAGGTATACGACCGCTGCGGGGAGCCGTGCGAGGACTGCGGCGGCGCGGCGGGCGGCGCGTTCCAGGACGCATTCCAGTACGTCTTCTCCTTCCGGGAGCCGGCCGACGTCTTCAGGGAGTTCTTCGGGGGCCAGGACCCTTTCTCGTTGGACTTCTTTGGAGACCCGCTGGATAACTTCTTCTGGGATCGGAGGCGCTCCTGGGGGAGCCGGGGCAGAAGGGCCGTCCCCTTCTCGGCCTTCAGCGTCTTCCCGGGCTTTGGGGGTGGCTTCCCTTCCTTCCATGCAGGATTCCCGCCTTTCAGCTCGCTGGGAAGTGGAGGCCTCGATTCCTTCTCCATGTGCTGTGGGAGCGGTGGCGCGGGCAACTTCAAGTCTGTGTCGACGTCCACCGAGATAATGAATGGCAAAAAAATCACCACCAAGAGAATCGTGGAGAATGGCCAAGAAAGGGTGGAAGTGGAAGAAGACGGCAAATTAAAGTCCCTGATAATTAATGGCAAAGAGCAGTTGCTTCATATTGATACCAAGTAAAGACTTCAAGTACGATTTAAGAACTATCAGGACTTTTTTATTACATGTCCAAGGGAACTCAACATTCAGAGCAGTTGTATTTCAAGACACACCAGTGCCTCCTGTTGGGACCACAGGAATAGCATCTCTCCCAGTCTTTACCAGTCTTTATGGCAGTTGTGTCTGTATGCCTTCGGTACTTATTAAACTTAACCCTGAGACAGACCATCATTATTTCTTAGTGCTACGAAAAATTGCTCCCAGCACCGTGAACCTTTCATAGGTCTATTTTGATGAAAATGTGACCCAGGGAGTTTGGTGGGAGTCATGTAACCCATGTTCTCTTTTACCCCACTTTGGTGAAAGATAGGCATATATTGGTTCTTTCATTTCAAGTAAATTGAAGAAGCTTTTACTTATACACAGAATGATGATGCTAAAGGAACAGTTGGCCATGGTCTAAAAGGTTGGATTTAGGCTTTAAAAAGCACTTACTGGAACAAAGCAGATGGAATTAAGATTCCCATCACTGCTGGAATGAATTACTACACACTTAGTGGTGTGTATCACAGTAACTCTCCAAGTTCTGTGAGCCAGAAATCCAAAATTCACTTCATTGGACAAGAAGGAGGGTTGCCAGGACCATGCTGTATCTGAAAGCTGAGGCCTATGTGTATCAGTCAAGGCCTAGAGGACACATGGCTGGTTAGTACTCAGAACTGAATTGGAAGATGCGGAAGTGCAGAACATGCTTCCTTTTAAAAAAGGCCATGTAGACTTCTCTGTTACCGTTGTAGGGTATATATTCTCTAAACATTATATATGAAATCAATGTAGCTTCAAAAGCCAGCTTTTACCTAAAATGCTAACTGGGAAAAGCATCATAACGCACATCTGAGGAAGTATGTTCTATTAGCATAGTTTGTGTTACATAGTCAGACCTTGCAGGAGATGTCTGCCTTGAGGGTAGCACAGAATATCCTACTTTACCCCCCATGCCATCTGTGAAAACTGCCTAAGACGTAAAGGCAAAAGGAGATCTGAAATTATAAAGATGCACCACTTCGGAATTCTCTGCCAAGAGGCCATGAAACCTAGGCACATTGTTACCAACTAGGACTACATGAGAATAGATAGGGTACTATTCTTGTTTGCTTAACAATTGCTGTGCTAAAACACTGACCAAAACCAACTTGTGGAAGAAAAAGGTTTATATGGCTTACAGCTCAGTCCATCATCAACGGACGCCAGGGCAGGAGTTGGAGCACAGACTGGAGGAACACTGCTTACTGCTTGCTCCCCTGGCCTGTGCTCAGCCTGCTTTCTTCTGCAACACAAGACCACCTGCCCAGGGGTGGTACTGCCCACTGGGGGCTGGGCTGGGCCCTCCCACATTACTCAAGAATACATGACCACAGGCCAATCCAATGGAGGCAATTCTGCCATTAAGATCCCTCTACCCAGGTGTGTCAAGTTGACAACACTGTCTAGCACAGATACCCGTAGTGCCTTTAAGGTGTGCCCTGAATGTAGTAACATGTACAACATGTCAGGAACATGAGCTTTGGCACTGTCTTCCCAGGGAACACGTCAATAAAATAGTCAACAAAGTACCTGGGTAGCTGCTTGCTTAATAACTAAAATAACTTTGGGGGAAAAAAATGAGTGTTTACCCCAGCCTAGTGAACCAGTGAAGACAGTCACTGAGGGGGCTAGGGAGATGGCTCAGAGGTTAAACCACTTACTATACAAGCATCCCCAGAAACCCACATAAATGCTGGATTGACATGACCCTCAGTAGATGGAGACAGGAGCCCCACAGCAAGTTGGCTAACAAGACTAGCCGTATTGGCAAGCTCTGAGTTTGAGAGACCCTGCCTCAGCAAATAAGGTGGAAGATCATCAAGGATGATTCCTACATTAATCTTGGGCCTCCCCATCCACACCCACATGAGTGTGCACATGCATGCAAAAATGTGCAAACACCATATATACATGAAAAAA